TTTTTGCCATTTGGTTGTGTTTATTGCACTGAAAAACTTTCTTCTTTACTGTGAGTTGCTTGCATCTCCACAAATCTTGCTCTTATTCAGTCTGGAAGAGCTCGTTTGTGTGGAAATGCTGTTCTATTTGCTATAATATTTCTCTGTATGCCATAAAACATATCCATAGCCATGAATAGGGTGACCAGACGTACTTATTTACCCAGGACAGTCCAGGTTTGAGCCCCCAGATTTATCCAAAACCAGTGATTTGTCCCAGTTTTATACAAGAAATGTCCCAGGTGTCCCTATTTTTGACCAATCTGATCCCTACCAACAGTGAAGAGAGATATAAATGGTAATTTGTTTAGGTAAAATACAGAAAAGCTGCTTAAAAATGACCAAAAGACAAAGAAAATGTGACTATATTGACACATGTTAGTCATGAATGGGCTAAGTGCAGAACAATTCTCCTTAATTACACACTTATTTCACAAATTTATTATTACCAACGACCATAAACCAGGGATGTCCCAAGTTTTTATTTTGAAATTCTGGTCGCCCTAGCCATGAAGTTGTTGAAAATGTTCCTAAGTATGGTTCTAATTTTCTATTTCACCTCCAGAAAATTACACACTGTACCTTTAAATATTTCTCCTCTTACTTCATCTGAATCTATTCTCCGTCTGTCCAATTTGACCAGTAAAATTTTTACTGCGGAATACCGGCCACAAAACGCCGGTGCCATCATTAACCCTTAAACCAGCCAACATTCCCAGTGTGCCCATAACACTTAGCCCCTCCCCCTCCACAGGCCAATCCCCCTCCTCGGTACCTCCGTCGAACAGCACATGTGCGCTGTACCTGGGTGACAGCGCCTGGGTGGTCCACGTGGTGCACTAAAGCAGATGCCAATCACAGCCTCGAAGTGCAATTGTACTTTTTAAACACAAAAAGAAAAAGTAATTTATGTTTTTTTTATATATTTTAATAAAAACACTGCACAAATTTTATACAAAAAGTTACATCATAATAGTTTGGCTAGTGCACTCTTGTGATAATACTGACGATATTCAAAGTGACAACATATGACATTCTTTGGTTGGTAATTTTGCAGATTCTGAACAGTTAAGGGTTAAGTTAAATCGGGTGAGACATTCAAAGTTCATTTAGAGTTCACACTTGTACATGCAACATCAAAACTGGGACTGAATCCAGAACTAATCCTGAGCTAAACCAGGGTTAGAACAAGAACAAATCAAGTCGACATCAGGACTAAACCAGGTTTAAACAGGATCAAACTAGAACTAGTGTGAACAAACTCTTACATTTTGCAGCTTAAAGAAGACATATTATGCTCTTGTCTGGTGTATAGTGAGAACATGACACCGTGGATTATTATTTCATGTTTGACGGCTTGTTTACACAAGAATGCTTGCGGGTTACAACGACAAAATATTTGATCAGAAGTGCCTTTCTTTTAAAAAGTGGCGGCGCTTTTGAGGCTTAAAAACGCCAAAATTTGAAACCACCCTCCAGAGTTGAATACGCTCCACCGTAGTGTTTCAGTCTACACTGCCCAAGACGCAAAATTCTGGTCAGATCTGCTCAGGTTGCGTACTCGTTTACATCACATACATCACCACCTCGCCACCTGGTGTGCATACCCAATCGAACTTCACACACTTTTGCGTCACCGTATGCACGTAGACTTCCTCCTCAAAATGCTCATCTAAACACGGAATAAAAAGTGAAAACACGATGCCACTTTTACGTCTTCTGTTCAGACCGTGATCATATAAACGTAGCCTTTGGCAGTCGTCTAAGCTGAAATATTGATCTAAAAGAACTCAAACGTGAACTCTCTCAATTTTTATGAGTTAACAAACTCTTGAGAATCTGTCTTGTTTGGCTCCGGCTGAATGGTTTGCATGTAATAGGTCCCACACACAACTGCGCAAATCAATCTGCTGACAGGCAGTTTAACTTACAGTCACAGTATGTAACCTTTTAGACAAAAAAAAAGAAAAAAAAAAAAAGATTGAGATAAAAATATGTGGGTTTTTTGTTTTGGCTTTTTTTTCTATGAATGAGAATTTCCCAAAGTATGGTTTTATCTTTATATTTCCATGAAATCAATCAGATGATGTTCCAAATCCAGAAAGTTACATACTGTACGTTTTAATTAAGATTCCGACTGGAAACTGCTGAGCTGATTTCCAACTTCCCATTACAAAGCTTTATTGTAAGTCCTTTGTACCTCCAAAAAACTATATAGAGCAGGGGCGGTCCTAGGGGGGCCGACGGGACAGCCACCCAGGGCACCGCCCCCAGTCCTCACTTTTTAAAATGTATTTTTAAATTTATTTTTACAGTGGGACCCCCTGTGTTTTCTTCCTGGTACGCCATGAGGAGGTCTCACCCAGGGCGCCAATCAGTGTAGGATCGCCACTGATATATTGTAGACCAGTGGGCGTGTATGCGGGGTAGGGTAGAACTGTAATTTTCTGAGTAATGGCACCTTGATTGCAGGAGAATTCAGATAAACATGCATCAGTTACTGTATACAACTTTGGGTGGGTAAATAATAAAAGCTGTTAAAAGTTGATTTTGCAAAATATGTCTTCTTTAAGAGCCATTTTGAAACATTCTATGAAGCTGTATGATTATTAGGTCAGAAGAGAAATGGAAGTCATTACATTTTGGCACACTTTAGATTCTGTAAATTAGTAAACGTCCAATTCAGATTTCAGATTTAGTACTACTGTATCTGTAGCCCTACCACAAATTACAGTTAGAAACTTGAGTAATTGAATCCCGTTGCCAAAACCTATTTCTATTATGTCAGAAGAACCAACCACAGAAAGGCTGTTTTAACAATCTGCTCTTTCAATAGCTAGTCATTTAATGCACGGCCGCCATATTCTCCCCATGTGTGGGACATAAATTACAAAACACGTAGAGGCGCTGTACCTGATTTTTTTACTGTTCCAAAAAATGAGAAAAACAAAACTAGTTCATTCAAAGTTATTGCTTTATGCATTCTGAGCATCCTAATGACTCACCATGATGAGTTTGTAAGAGGTATTTACTCTCAGTGTGATGAGTAGTAGTCACAATACTAAAATTTACTAAAACAACAGTACTTTATTTTATATTACCTTGTGAAATATCTGTGTAATACCTCAGTGGTCCAGGTAGGTTCCATAGTGGTCCATTGGTGTATACTAGTCTATGTGGTCTTATATTTGTTCAAGATCATTCTAAAACTATACATAAAAAGTTCATTTCTGTCCTGTGAATGTGATTTGTTTAGTATCGATCTTCCTCAAATGAGAATCTAGTTTTGATTCTAGTTTAAGTATTGATTAGTAGCTGATTTTTGATACTTTTCACTACCCTAAAGCTAAACAACAACGTGCACTTCCTGATTATCAGACAATAAATCAGGTACAGGGCCTTACCGACATGTAAAAAGCATTAACTTTGCGATCCACGTTAAGTTATTATTCGTTACTTACATTAAAACAGATATTCCATACTAACAGGTAGATGTCATGTGTTAAGGAGTTACACAGTTAAGGAATCTCTCAAAGCAACCCTGTACTTGAAGTATTTACTACAGGTAGTTCCATAAGTCGTCTCTTATTAGTGAGAATAGGGTTTCATCATGGTGCTATTCAGTGACCAATGTGGCCAATAAAAGTACCATTTTATATTTAGGATAACCTTAATAATACTTTTTATTTACATATATTCATTTGTAGAGTTTAGTGATGACCGGTTTTCACATTGAGTCGCATGAGTACCTGTAGGTATTTAATGAAAATAGTTTGGTGAGTCTCTTGTCTCACACACCAAAAACAGTTATCCAGAATCCAGAGAAAATTGTCTTGATTTTCTAAAGTTGTGACAAATTCAAACTGATAAGAACGAGAACCAGAGCCTGTTTATCGAAATGCATTGCTAACTTGGAGTCGAGTTGAGTATTTGGAATTAAGAGCATGTGCATCATAGCAACCAAAGGCCCAATCAGGAGCGAGGTTGTTGAAGGCACTCGGTCCTTAATGCCTGCACCACTGGTTTGGCAGGGGGTGGGTGTTTAGCAATGTTGTTTATCAAACCTGTTGCTGACGTTAATGGGAAACCTGCTGCTAACCTCAGGGAAAACAAGGCATCTGATTCGTCTTTTATTAATTTTTTATTTCTTGATTTATGGACAAAATATCCATCCATCTATTTCACTTCCGCTTATCCGGGGCATTGGTGAGGGGGCAGCAGTCTAAGCAGGGACTCCCAGACTCCCTAAACTTCCTCCAGCTCCTCAAGGGGGGACCCCAAAGTGTTCCCAGGCCAGGTGAGAGACATAGTCCCTCCAGCGTGTCCTGGGTCTTCCCTGGGGCCTCCTCCCATTGGGACATGCCTGGAACACCTCCCGAGGGAGGTGCCCAGGAGGCATCCAGGACAGGTGCCCGAGCCACCTCAACTGCTCCTCTTGATGTAGAGGAGCAGCGGCTCTACTCTGAGCTCCTCCCGTGTGACTGAGCTCCTCTACCTGTCTCTAAGGAAGCGCCCAGACACCTTGTGGAGGAAACTCATTTTGGCTGCTTGTATCCGCGATCTCGTCCTTTCAGTCATTACCAAAAGCTCATGGCTGTAGGTGAAAGTAGAACATAGATTGACAGTAAATCGAGAACTTTGCCTTTCAGCTCAGCTCCCTCTTCACAAGAACGATCTGATGCAGCACCCGCATCACTGCCGACGCTGCACCAATCCGCCTGTCAATCTCACGCTCCATCCTCCCCTCACTCGAGAACAAGACTTGACGACAACGAAAATAAAAAATAGCAAAATTAAAACACCTGGATCATGTAGAGTGAGATTGAATATTGAAAATGACAAGCCTGACAGCAGCAGTTACAAAAAGAGGGGCAACAACTTTGCACCAGAATGTGAACTGATCGCTGGAGCCAAGTAGCACCCTGGCGAACTTCCTATGTGGAACACAGACACTAGTGGGCGGGCTATGTCTGTTTATATGTACAGTATTTTATCAACAACCTCATGATGGCGTCAATGGCGTAAACGGAAAACTGAAACCCATGAAACCCAATACAAATTTGCTTCAATTCCAAATAGCTCAAACTTGATGTGATGATTTTTAATACTGACAACCATAATGTTAATATTCTGTCTTCTTCCTTGTATCCTTTTTATACAAACACAGTCGAGAAAATTAAAACAAAAAGCACATTTGGCAGAAGTCCTTCATCATTTGTAACATCTTAAAGTCCATATTAATTTACTCATCTTCTAGTACCTTTATACACATTTTGTACAACATACTTTAAATCCCATTTTACATCTCCAACATCTCTTTGGTGAGTCTTTTGCCAAAACCAATTCACCAACTAACCACAAACATTCGACATAGCTCTATCCAGTCTTCCTCCTCACACAGTAGTCATCACTTTCAGCGAACCAGTGCGGAAGCGTAGGATCTTCTTCTTTAGCGCGTGCGAGGCCTTGATCTTCACGAAGGCCTTCTGCTGGAGAGGTCCCCCTGGTGCCGCGGCTGCTGCCGACGGGGGCGGGTGGGCCAGCTGGGGCGGGAGCTGCTGAGGCCAAACAAGCCCCCCGCTCTCGTCTGAATCGCTGGACAGAGAGCTGGAATCTGGAGACTCCGCTTCACTCGTACTGGACTCGGACTCCCCTTGCGCCCCGTGGTGGTAGTCCTCAACCGGCCGACTGTCCAGCTGGTACTCCATGTGCTGGTGATGGGAATGGTGGTGGGAATGGTTGTGGTGGGGGTGGTTGTGGTGGTTGGGCGCGGGGTAGGCGTAGGAGGGGTGCGTGGGACGGGATTTGCGGGTGCGCTTTGAACAGTGGTCCCTCTGGTTGGAAGTTGGATGGACCTGCACATGTGTTGGACCATGTGGTTGTTCGGCTTCATCCTGACTGAGCTCCAAGGAGGACTGCCATCTCCGGTAGTTTCCATTGCTGTGATGCTGCTGCTTCTTACTCTTCGTCTGGCTACCCCGGCTACCCCTGCTACCGCTCCCACTCCCCGCTCCATCGCGTTCAACCGTGTTGTACTTCCTTTCTGGCGCTCTCTGCAAACTATTTTCTGATTGCGACCTGCTTGCCTTTTTGCCTTGCTTCCGAGCGGCGCCATTTTTGTCACATTTCTTGGCGTTGCTTCGAGATCTTGACGGCTGGCTTTGCGTCGGTTGTTGTTCTTGATGGTGATGGGTTCTTTCCGGGGAATATGTGCTCCGGTTGGGTTTGGAAGCGCCGGAAGTTTTGTGGTGATGGTGGTGATGGTGCGCATATGCCCTGGTTGACGCTCGGCAAGGCTGGGCGGGGATGTACTCCGCGTTGACTAGATGTTCTTCAGGCGGGGGCAGTTGCTGGGGTTTGGGCGCTGCCGGTGAGTAGCCTCCTTGGAAGTTCTGGGGCGAATCAGGTTCACTATTGCTTGAGTCCACGTGGGTCGGAATCACCCTACAAGACTGATATTCCAACGATATCGACCGATTGGCGACCATCTGAACTTGTTTGGGTTTGTGGTATGGACCTGATTGATGTTGGATGTTTTGCGGAAGATGATGATACGGAGGTGGCGGTTCGTCAATGTAAGCACTTCCTTGAAACCGTTCATGGTCCAAGTTGTGGACAGTGACAGTTGGAATCCTTTCTGGAACTTGCGATTGGATAAGAACTGGAGAAGCAACCTCAGGAATCACTTGCGTAGGCACTTGCTTTGGGGAATGCTGGTCTTCTTTGCGACATAAACTACTCTGCCTCACCACGCCTATCGCACGGGCATCGGGTGCTAAGCTTGTGCGAGGTTTTGAAGGCCTCGGCGGTAGGGCTTTACGCTGGATCAGTCCGAAAATATAGGTCTCTGCCTTCTGAGCTTGCTGGTTGCCCTCTTGACCCTGTTCGAGGCTCTTGAGCTCCGCCAAAGCGTCTGCAAACAATGTACTTCTGGCTAAGTCGGAGAGCCAGGTGTCAGTGTCCGGGGTCCCGTTTGGAGCTGATAAAGAGCGGGGAAGCCTCTGGTGAAAGGTGGATACTTCGGTGGGTAAGTCAGCTTCTTTAGGCAGAGAGATTTCTGTAAAACACAAAAAGATACAGTATTAGTGCAACAATAATGGGAGTACTGGTGGTGTCATGTTACTAAAACATCAAACTTGACTTTGATACCAAAGAATTCACTCAATACTCATTTTACAATACCACAGTGAAGACAAAATGTTTTCTTTTTAGTAATAGAATGCAAATTTCATATAAAAAATAATAGTACTTTCTTAATCTTAGCATGATGTCTTATGTTCTTTCTGATAAAGCTCAAAATCAAACTGTTCACGAAAGCTCAAATTTTGTCCTGTGTATTTTTTATATATTTTTTTGCAATTTCAATATTGATTAGATGTTCGATACTTTTAACAATCCCTGAAAATTGTTGTTGTGGTTTTTTAAAAAATAGATTACAATGTATCTGTATCTGAAGTTTTTGATTTGACTTTTAATTTCACTTAAAAAGAAACAAATACTGTAGATTAGTAAAACTAAAGCTGCACAATTTGAGGAAAATATCTAATTATTACTTTTTCTTTTCTGTCAGGCAATGCAATTCGATTTATAATTTAGGTTTTGATAATAGGATTTTGTTCAGAGTAGACACATTCAGAAAAAAACTAAGAAAAAGACTGAGATATGAATTGACAAACTAATACCAGAATCACATTTCAGAGCATGTTTGTACAGATGTAAACTATAGACCTAGCAGTGTTTATGCAAAATAAGATGGGAGATTTTGTTATTTGTGGAGGAAATTACAGTACTTCAGAAATGGCAACTATACAAAATGAACAAATACACAAAATTCACAAATGTTTAAAGGGACAGGCTGGAATTTTGGACATAGGACCTAGATAGCCAGAGTGTTGGAGACGTGGAGACACTTTTTAAAATATTCCATCCAGTCCTTGTATTTGCAGAGGTCGCTGGTGCTAGACTAGTGCATGCCAATGGCAATAGTTATCCTGCCACTTACCCACTCCACAAAACACCCGAAAAAAATGTATTATTACACCAGACTGTTGATGTGAATGTCTGTGTCAATAGAATAATTTTAGAAGTAAAACCAACTTTGCATTTGAAGGATTTATGTCTGAGCAGCAGCAGCGAGCTGTACTTCCTGATAAAAAGGTTGGCAGTGGCGGACTGATATATGAGAAAATAGTCCCTCAACATGCGACAATTCATGTAATGCAAGGTTAGTTTTATTTCAAACATTATTCTGTCAACACAGACATTTACATTGATAGTCTGACATGATAACAGATTCGCTTCGGGTGTTTTGTGGAGTGGGTAAGACTATGACATTGACATGCACAAGCCTGGATGGAAGGACTGGATGGAATATTCAAAAAAGTGTCTCCACACGTCTCCAACACTCTGGCTCACTAGGGAATGAGGTCCTATGTCCAAAATTCCACCTGTCCCTTCAACCTGATCATTTCTATCAATGACTAGACCCACAAACTCCCTGTATTACAACACAAACCTGCACTTTGACAATATTAACTATAACTGCCCCCGACTATATTAAATATTATTGACCAACAGAACGCTGTGATGCCATTAGAAACCCAACAGTTAATCACAATTTAATGGGTTCTTCTTGGGCAATCTGTCATAACAGCAACTGCTAAATGTTTTAAACAATCGAAAATCCATTTGTGCTTTAGCCAGACCCAAGAGTATACTAGAAGCAACAGGAACAGACAACAGTCCCTGCATACCTTAAACAACTCTCCAGCCCACTATGGCGTGATGAGCCAGGGAGACACAGTGCGCTTGTTTGTGCCTTTGCCAGATTCTAAAATGCCTCTGTAATGACCTCAGTGCATGCAATATGTCCAGGATCAATGTTGTGTTCATCTTTGGCACTTATAGAGGCTTTCATTAATCATTTATGGGCTCTGGATCTTTTTTTACACATCTTAAATCAATGTTAAATGTCAAATGTTAAAAATACAGTCTGTAACTTTCTGAAGGTGGTGTGCCAACTGCTTAATTCCATAGAAAAAGATAGTTAAAGCCAAACTTTGGAACATTCAGATACATTTTATGTCATAATAGAGAGTTTTTTTTTTTTTTTTTAATGCAATATACACTACCAACATGAACAACCAGGTAAAAAGTAACATATTGTGGCTTAAATTTTTATGACTCAGCAAAATAGGAAAATAGACTTAGATTTCTGTAGATATGTTTTATAAATAACACTGAAAGGGTCTTACTAATGCTTTTCCATCAATCGTGAGCCAAAACTGTCTATTTGAGACATTAAAAGTGCACTGACTAACATTTTTAGTGCAGGGTTTGCCACCTGCTTATCTCCATGGCAAAGTTATTGGTTTGTCTAGAATGTTCCATAGTATAAATTAAAGTGTCTACACTAAACTATCTATTAAATGTATCACAAGCAGGTTACAGCACTATGCTCCATTACAGTTCAGATCTGTGGAGAGTTGCCCTGATTCACAGAAGGAATTACTGTATTTTTGAACAATAGAAATACCCGTAATGAATAAATGTTAGATGGATATGTTAAATGTCATAACATGGAAAATGCAAAGCAATAATATCTCCATGGAGACAAATCATTAGCAGACCCTCTACCAGAAAAGTTGCGCAGTGCATCTTTAAGGCATGAGGACAGGGGACCAGAGAAAGTGAAATAAGGATGTGAGGAAGTTTGCCTGGACAACACAGTGACAAACTCTGAAGTAGCTGTAAAACTACATGGAGCCAATGAAAGTGCGGTGTGAGTCCACTGCTATCTAAGGAAGCACATGAGAAACACTGGAAAGGCCTTAGTTAGTTAAATAGTTAGATTGTTTATTTTCTTCGGTCATTTTACATAATCATTAATCATATTAAAATTATTTATGAGTAACGCAAAAACAACGGATAACACTTCAGTTATTCTACAGACCGAAGGGCTTTAGGCTCAAGTTTAGCACTTGTTTTGCTTATTTTATAAAATAGAAGATGGGCAGAAAATCAATTTACAGAAAAAAATAAATAAATAAAAAATCTAATACTTTTATGAGAGCAGGAAAGAAGACCTACTTAAAGGTCTGGTGGAAGGTCCAGCAAATGTTTCTCTCCATGGAGATGCTATTGCTTTGTTTGGAATGTTTCACAGTGTGGTACTGAAGCTTTCTCTCTTCAAGGAGACCAAACCAGACCAAGTTACAGGTCAGATCTGTGGAGAAGCAACCCCACTCACAGTCAGAATGCCTTTTGAGGCAATAATAAATCCATCTGTATTTGAATAAATCTGAATTAAAGCTGTTTAATGTCATACTGTGGAACACATATACATATACAGACACGCAATCCCGTTGTCTATGTTCATACCATAGAACTATAATAAAATCTGGAAGGTAAACTCAAGATGGGCCCCAAAAACATGTTCACTTCTGCATTTATTTCCTCAGTAGAGGCGAGCTCTTCCCACGGTGTGGACCGTTTGGACCAATCAGAGCGAGAGTTACTAGAGTGGAGCTTGTACGAGCTCAGGGCTAAGTCTTACAGAGATCACTTTTAGGCGCTTTGAGGAAAAGTTTATGTTGTGAAAATATAAAATAATCCCTACAAAATCCAACCTTTGTTAAAGTTGTCAATGCCCTGTCAGCCGAACACGGGCAGTTTGAATTCCCAAAAAATGCATTGTGCTTCTATGGGAAAATTCTTTCTGGGCCCAAACTCCCAGGGGCTGCAGTACCTGGAGCGGCCACTAGTCTGTCTTGCAATGGGGCAGAGGGGAATGCTTTATCCAGGTTTATAATAGATCCATGGTTCATACCCCCACACACACACACACACACTGATCCATGAAAGTGAAATCTGTGTGTGCCGGGGGCGGGCGCATGTGAGAGTTTCTGAGCACCCACTTTAAAAACAGCCCCTTTAACAGGATTTTCAACAGCGATCTAATTTGGACAAATAGGCCAAACCGAGTTACATAATTGTCCTGATTGGAATTTCTGGAGCCAGTCTTAGCGTTTTTACCTGCGGGGGCTTGGCAGTCATCCAGTACGGTGGGCAAATCTGCTAATTTCACCTCAGCGTTCACCTTCAACTGGGCCACATGCTGCTCCAAAGATGCCATAATGCCCCATGGTGTGCACTGCAAGCTGCTCTGAAAAAAAAGAACAGAGAGAAAGCTAAAGTTAGAAACTGGAGAGAGACGTAGTTTCCCATACCCTACCATTATCCCAGACATGACAGGAAAGCTTTTATTTTGAAGGTCCTAGCTGTCTCTTCTGTCAGAGAGTGGAGGTGGGCCAAAATACACTACACTCTGAAATCTCTTTGACATTTTCGCTCTGCATGTGGGTTTTTCGGTTGCTGTAGTGACGGCCGCATTTCATTGGCCCGAATGTTGAACAAACAGAAGTGAAGTATGATGTGGAAATGGGATGTTCGAAAGGCCTTGTAATCAATAGCCCCAAAATAAAATGGTATAAAGTACATGCAACTGATAATATTATACAAGAACTTTAACTAGTTTCTGAGAAGTTAAAAGGTCAGGTGTAAGAACTAGATATTATTCAAGTGAAAATTGTTAGAAAAAAGCATGTTTAGTTTATTAAAGAGCCAATACTACACAAAATTGACTCTTGTGTGCTTTAAGCCACGTTGTTATGGAGTTGTGTTTAGTTTTATTCACACATGTTGGAGAAACCCTTTATTAGTCTGTCTACATCTCTAAAGCTCAAAATACTCTTAAATAGTTTTATGCCATACTGTGGAAGATTACGTCAAAAGGAACATTTCCACGGAGACAAGCAGGTCAGGTTTGTGGACGTGCAAGCCCGCTCACACGAAGGACGTAGTTTTCCTATAGTTCTTATACTTGAGGCTGTAAGAATAAAAATACTGCATTTTTCTTGTAACTTCTTCTTAACACATCAGCTTTGTGTAGATACTTCAACATTACGCTGGGGGTGTTCTACAGGCATCTCCTCAGCAGAATTTTCAGCAGTTACCGTGGTGAACGCAATGTACACACTAGCCAACACAGACAAAAAAGTTTTACAAAAATCTGAAAACTCAAAAAATATAAAGTGGATTTAAACAACACTTTGTATTTTTCAGGAGCCTGTGATCAATACGAGCGTTCATGGACCTGTTCAGTTTGATTTTCAACAAAAAGGTGAGAGTGACTAACTTAGGGTGACCAGATTTTCAGAATAAAAAACTGGGACATCCCTGGTTTGGGTTGGTTGTTAACAAAATTGTGAAAGGAGTGCATAGTTAATTAAGGAAAATTGTTGTGCACTCGACTCACTAATGTGAATCAGTACACTTTTTCTTTGTGTTTTTGTAATTTTTAAGCAGGTTTTCTGTAAACAAACGACCATTTATGCCTCTCTTTACTAGCTGGCAGGGATCAAATTGGTCCAAAATAGGAACACCAGTGACATTTGTTGTATAAAACTGGGACAAATCACTGGTTTTGTATAAATCTGCTGGGACAGGGGACACAGGGCTCAAAACTGGGACTGTCCCGAGTAAACAGGGACATCTGGTCACGATAAACTAACTGAAAAACTGTTGGATAATGCTGGTTAGATTACGAATTTTAGGTGCGAGAGACTTGTTTAACAGCACAAAAACATGTCAGCTGTTGTAGTTCTGGCTAAATCAACTCTGTCTTGCCAGATTGTGTAAAAAATAAACTCAGATTAAGTCTAATTTGTGTAACAGAGCTTCAGACAGAGTAGTGCTTTGACGCCACTTTCCATGGTATGTTAGAGTGTTCTAGATCATCACATTTAGAAGCGCACAACTGTCATTTTGTCACCTGCGCCGTACGACTAAAATCCGCTGTGTAACGACAACAGAAAAGCTCAGATGGAAACGTAATACTTTGTTTAGTGAAAACAGCGTAATTGGAACACAGTGTTTGGGGTTGTTTGCATGTCTGAGCCTTGGCCTGCGTCCTGTCTCTTTCCACTGCAGCTGCTGTGAGTGTGACCAGACGGCTGCTTTCAACACCACCTCAGATACGCTGGCATGTCTCACAGTACAGCCCCCGGTATCCACGGCAACAGGGACAGCACAATACTCATCTGGATTTTGGTTGGTTTTGCTGACTAGGTTAAAACAAATCTATGTATGTTTTTGATTTTAAAGGTCGTAGCTACACAAAATGGGTTCTTGTGAGCTTTCAGTCATGTTATAATGTCGTTACCTCCTCAAAAACAAATCCAAAGTTGTGTTTTGTTTCATTCACGCATGTTTGAGTAAAACTTTATCGTTAGTCTGTCTACATCTCCAAACCATTACCTTTAATTCTGTAAAGATGGGCAATGCCAGAGCTGAAATCATCCAAATGATTCTAGTGAAGGTGTATGGAGTTTGAAAAGACAGAGGAGCACTTTCTGTATTTCCACATGACATCACAAGGTGGAACAGAGTGCTTTGCAGTTCTCCCACGGTCATGGAAATCCTGGAAAAGTCATGACATCTTGTAGATTCAATGAAAGTTTTGCAAAAGTCATGGAATTTCAGGATCTCTTTCAAGCTACTAATTAAGTTCTTATTAGGCTATTATGATTATGTCCGAACGTTTGCGCTTTTTGTTTTAAAAGAGACGACAATAAATGCACTGACAGGATTTTGAATGTTAAAAAACTATAATCGAAAACCATAAGTTGAGTGGAAAGGGTTAACATTTCATAGTTGCCCCTAAAAGTCTGATCAAATCTACACATGTTGGTGCCGTAAAGTCAAAATTCACGGTTATGGAAAAGTGTTGAAATTTTGTCAGTGAAAAAAAGTGGAAACCCTGGTTTTGATAGAAGAACACGGTCTAAATGTGCAGGATTTGTGTGTTAAACATGTGTGAATGAAACAAAACACAACTCCAGGCATGTTTTTGATGAGGAGACAGTTTCAAAAAGGTGATCTACCCTGTCCTCAGATGCGAGTTGTTTTTGTATGTTGTGATTGTGATACATATATTTTACAACAGCAAGACAGTAACTTTTAATTTACTTGTTGGTTTTGCAAATGTTTGTGTGGATTTGTCATTGTAAGGGCATTTATTTTACTCCCACATGTAAGCACAAAACCACAAATAATAACATCGAGACCACCCAAAAATGACCTTGAAGCAAACACGTGTAGCCAAAACCAGACCAGCAGTTAACAGCCTAAAACTGTGACAAATACAACCGCTAGTTCATTTGAAATGGTTTGCAGTTAAAGGCATTCTTCACAACTTTAAATGTGCAATGTGCAAGTGTGGTGGTATGACATAAAACATATTCACAGCATTTAACAGGTGTTTCGCTGCACTGACCACAACAGAAGAGCCCTGCAGTACATAGTGAACATTACCAGCAAGATCACTGGTGCACCACTCCCCTCCCTGCAAGACATATACACCACCTGCCTTACCATATCCAATTTTTTGCAAGGTTATTCACATTTCCAATTAAATGCAACTCTTATGTGATCTCCAGTGTGAACTTTAAACGCCCCAAAAGTGTCCCGCATGCGCATTGGAGAACACAACTCATGAAGTAGCCTAAATGCTGGGCTTGCTTCTTAAAATATGGTCCAGTTCTTGGTAAAATGGACAGGTTACACGTCCACGGCCGCTTCATTTATTTTGAGTCTTTAGCCTCCTTGAATTTGACTCGCAGGCTCTTTATGTTTCCTTGACATTGGAGCCAGGACCACCTGTAGTCGGGCTCGGACATTTCTTTGGCAGTCATTTCAAAAACTGCCCGGTTTCGATAAGACCCCTCCAATTTGACCTGAATACAGCGATCCCCCCAAATATTAATAAACTCTCTAACCTCACTTTCCCTCCATTATCTAGACTCCAAGCCTGACCTGTAGGTGGGATGAATGTGACCTGGCCGTTCAGACTGAAGTCGCATGTCAAAAGATCAGATATGTATCCGTTTTAAGGGCACATATCCAAGTGGCCTGGGTCACATGGGAAAACATCGGATCTGTGTTGTTCAGACTGCCATTAAAAGATCAGATACAGGTCACATTGGAGCAAAAAAAATCAGATTTGAGCCACTTCAGGCTGCAGTCTGAACGTAGTCTAACAGCTTCATCCACCAGGCTGTTAGGATGCTGAACTCTTTTCCCTTTCCAACCACCAGAGGGCCAGGAAGCTATAAATCTGCATCTCCCCAAAGAACACTTGGACTTTTCCATTTATTATTATTTATTTATACATTTCGGAGTGAGAAACACAATGCTGATTCTTCATATGTTTCATATGACGAATTGACAGTAAACGTTTCTGAATTGAATTTGAACTGAATTTGAATTTCTATTGCTTAAAAATACAATAATTCCTTCTGTGAATATGGGCGACCCTCCATAGATCTGAACTGTAATGTAGCGCAGTGCTGTAATCTGCTCATCTCTCTCATGATGGTCACATTGGTCACATTTTTCTGTAGCACTTTTCCACCTTCAAGGCACTCAAAGTGCTTTACAACAAGGAACCACTCACACATTCACACACCAGTGTACGCAGACACTGTGGGCAAGGTGGGTTAAGTGTCTTGCCCAAGGACACAATGGCAGCATTCATCTGTGGGAGCTGGAATCACACCAGCCAACCTGTGGGTCAGTGGATCTGACCGCTCAACCTGTAATGTTTATCTCGAGATCTGGATTCGAACCGCCAACCTTCAGATCAGTGGGCGAACATTCTAGACAAAGCAATAACATTTTACCACCACAGTAAAGCTAACAACAACTAGCACACGCTTCCTGATTCCCGGACAATAAAGCGCTTAAAAATGCAATGCTTATTTAACCTCTGCTTATGCAATATAGCTGTACTGACACATTTTCAAGGGCTTTTCTCTGATAAACATTGCAATTTTTGATTCACATAATGAAACAACATGGGAAATTCTGCCCGTTGAGAGTCCTATCCAGAGGGCTTACATCTGTATCCTCTCATCTCAAGAACACAATTAAACGCATTTATCGAAAGTGCGCATACAAACAAATGGGGGCTAAGGGTTAGGAACGCACGCACAGTACAAAAACAGATCCCATTCCCTGACTATGGGGAGGACCACATGCTCTGCTATGATAACAACGGAACAAGAACAGTCCCCTCTCCCCGTCTCGCACACACACGGACACTTC